AAACACACACACACACACACACACACACACAGAGAGCAAGTGTCCCCTGCAGGTCTCTTGCCACTTTCGGCTCAGGCCATCTCCAGCCATCTACCACTGGGAAGATGTTTGAATATGATTCAAACATTCCTGACAGCTCTCTACACATCTCCGGTCTGCCTGTAGTAAAACATTTATTCCCATCAGCAGCTTCTGTTCAACTCGTGAGAGCTTCACTCTGGAACTTTACTTTTGGGTTTTGCCAAGGAAGCAATGCAATGCTTGTACCTATTATGAAAGATAAGCAGCTTTATGAGAGCAAAAATGTTTAGTCTTGTTGAGAGTATATTGATCCTTAACATTACATGCAATTCAAGGGCCAGGAACAAGACATTAACAAGAGTTGCGAATATGGCAAAAAAAAAAAAAAATCCCAGTCAGATATATACACAACACAACCCAGAAGGGTTTTTAATGAATGTGAAATGTTGCCTGCAGTGCCCAGAGCAACTACGAATCAGATCAATTATAGATCATTTATTCTATCTTTTGCAGTTTTGTTGAACAATTCAATTTTTAACATATTTCATTGACCTTAGCAAGGTTGTTTAAACAGAGCCCAATGTAAGAGTTTCGGCCCAAGGCATCTTAGGTTTCTAGAAAGACACAAAAAATAGCAGAGGGAAACAATCTCACCCAGTAACACTAGCGCTTGGGAGTCCAATTCAAGGCCTTCTCAACTATTATCAGAGAAACCACAAGACTTGAGTCACTGACAAATTCTCTTGCTCCGTTCTGTGCCCCTCGCTCCTGCTTAATGGATGGTGAATTGCATTTCTCGAACGTGACGTTGCTGTTCATGAGGGAAAATAGCAGGCATCCACATGACAGCACATTCCTGAATGAGCCACATAACTGACGCTTCATGATATTATTTGGTCGGGGGCTGTCAGGATCCAGAACAAAATAATTATGCACATGGATCATTAGTCAAGTCAACATCAAACAGGAAACAAACAAATGTGCCCTTGTATCTGCAGGGATCTGGGTTTAGACGGAGACAGAGACCACTGCTGCGCCGTGATGCACAGCGAGCCGCTCTAAAATTAGAGTTTTGAATGTATGCACAGCTGAATATCTTATTCATGTGGTGTGATGCTGTTTCTCTGTGTTCATTATTTGCTATGTTTATGTTAACGTGAAATACAAGATCACATGATATATTTAATGATATATTTTTCTTCTGAACGTCTGTCCATGTATGGAGGTTATGTGTTCAGTTGGATTGTGTGTGGTCTAGTCTGAAGGGCTGTCTATAAACTGACAGTGTTTTGGAGACAGTGGCGCTCACCTCTCGTCTGCCTCCCTTCAACACATCTGCACAGCGAGGTTGCGATGCTGAATTAAGACTGCAAACCGATTTCAATGGATTGTCTGAGATGAGCTGAACTTAAATGGGACTGAAATGGACTTGATGTGAAATTTACCCCACCACTGTTTGAGATTTTCCTACAGGATCGATGTGCAGTGGAAGAGGATAGTATGTGTACACAAACAGACAAATGGACAGACAGACGAATGGATGACAGATAGATAGATAGACAGATAGATAGATAGATAGATAGATAGATAGATAGATAGATGTGAGTCAAAATCTGCTAAGGGCTAATAGTGGAACAGCAGTTTTAAAAAGTTATTTTGATTTTTCACAACTATTTACAACAGGTTCTGCATTTTCATGGGTTTAAATGAAAGATTTTTTAAAATAAGAGACAATAAAAAACAACTTTGTGCATCAAAACAACTCCTTTCCTGGTAAAAAACAAACAAAAAACCTCTGAGTAGCATGTATTTAAGGCACAAAATAAACTTCATTCCATAATATAAGTAAAATGAATTATGCAAAAAGTATTTTTATCATCTCCAGCATGTTTCATAATTACCCAAAAATCATGTTGACGTCAAAAATGTAGGCTGGCTGTCAGCTAGAATATTGGAACTAAAAATATCGGAATAACACTCATGGGCATCAATCACTTCACTGAATAGATAGATAGACTTCTATAAAAATATATTTTTTTTCACACCAGTCAAAAGTATCGTTAATCATACTTTATTAAATAATAATAATAACAATAAAAAGCATTTTTTTCTGTACAAAGTCTACAAACAACAATTTTTGAATGTTCTGACCAGTGCCGGGATCTCCATGTCTTTTGGTGTTGGCCTCCTGTCCCAGACAGACGAGGTAATACTATCACAGCTCTGCAGCAAAGCCAAAACAGGCCAGAGCTCCAAGGCACTTGGAAAAGAGTTAACAGAGTCCAATGAAAACTGAGCTGAATACACACAATCTCTCCCTTCTCTCCCCCAACAACTGAACAATCCATGTCTCCGGCTGCTTTCCACACTCCTTAAGAAGACGAGCCCCTCAACCCCCCTCGCTTACCCACAAGTCAACAGAACTCCCAGTGTGGCTCTGGGGAGCGAGAGGCCAGTCTGAGGTACAATAAAGAAATTTACACACACTTCCCCCATGTGTGTACTCGTTCTATCGCTCTCTTCACCTTGAGGTGAAACGTTCTGTGAAATTCTCACCCTTCTCTCAGGCTTGCACCAAACCTGGTCTTGTTAGCCTTCACTTTCAGCAGCCCAAAATAAACTATGGAGTAAACAGACAGGTGAAATGAAAGAAAGCAAGTGTAAGGCCTGACTCCTCTGAGGACCCAGTGGCTTCAAAGCCAAGGACTGGTGTTTCAAAATGGCTCTCCTCCAAAACAGTTTGCTTAAGGCTTGATTGTTTGTACATGAAAGTGGCTTGGGGATTTTTCAGCTCCTTCACCAAAGTCGCTCTGCCAGCTTGAGTCTTTGTTACTTCAAGAATAGAGTAAAGAGAGGAGGAGAGAACTGAAGATGCTCTCTCTTCTCTTTCCACTCTCTCAACACTCTTTAGCTCAGTGGCTCTGAATCCTTAGCAATCCATAGGTTGCGATAAATTAGTTTAAATTGTCCACACAGAATCTTCAACGCTATGCTTAGAAATCAAACAGTCAAAAACAACAAAAAAAGGAAAAGAGAAAAAAGAGACACAAAAGACAATCCTAATACTTCAATCTAAAAGGATTTTTCTGAATGTAATACAGCATGTTTTCTTTCCTGCTGTCTAATAGCCACAACAAAAACATTATGCTACAAACAGACTGAACTGAAGTATAAAACCTTCATAAGAGGCGTTGACACTTCAAAACGGTTGTGAAAAGTGGCAAAGATGGGAATGGGAACTTAAGCGGGTCAGCAAAAAGACACGAGTCTAAACTAAAGCAAATGTCCACAATATTCTAGGCCACAGCTTTCACACAATGGAGGCCGAAATTTCACAAGCAATCTGTCTTCTAGTCCTAGTGCCTCTCTCTCTCTTCTAACTTCCATCAAGCATTATTAGATTGCATTTTTCTTTACAAATCTAGAGCAATATACATTTGTTTAAAGTTCTTTTCTTTTTTGAAGGAGAGAAAGTCATTAGGTTGATATGTGTTGATCACTATTCACTCCCATTGAGCTGTCCACAGGAAGCCTCTATGCTCCCAGTGATCCTTCAACAATCCCGGTCAGAGATCAGCCCTATATTAGCAGCGTGAGGTCCATTCACAGTTTTGGATCAGGCCGGCACCAGTTCACAAGCGGACAGAGCGCCTCTCCTGATCGGCTGCCATCAGGCCTCGGAGCAGCAGCGCTGCTGGTTGATCTTCACCTTGTGCTTGATGTCGTCGTACAGCTCGAAGTTGTAGTTCTCCAGCGTGGTGGTGCTGCGGGATGACAGGCTGTTGTAGGAGCATGTGCAGTAGAGTATGAGCCCGGCGCAAACCGCTCCCAACAGAACGCCCAGGGAACTCATGACGATGATGGTGACCAGGATGGGATCAAAGGTGTACAGCCAGGCATTGTCTTTCTCTGAGATCCGTGTCACTGGAGGTTCTCGTGAGGGGTTGGGTGTGGTCCAGGCAGGGAATGGGAAACCTAGAAACAGGAGAGACAAAACAATACATTTTATATTGTACTCTAATAAAATGTTTTTCAGTTATTGAATTATTGAATAGTCATTGAATGCAAGTACCCTGAAAACAAGACTTAATGTCTTGAAGTTTTGCTTTTCAAGTATAAAATACTGATTAATAAAAAATGTTTTGCAGTGTTGTTTCAGAATGATTGGTGCAATAGTAGGTGGTATGGTATTCTTGTAGTTAGTTTTCTCTTTTCTGTCAGCTGCTGTCATAGCAAGGCAATAGCTTTCTAGAAAGTTTGAAGTGAATCTGGCTGAGTGCGCTGTATTCTTGTATATGTCAAGCTACATGAATAATATTACATTCTGTTATGACACAGACATCTGAAGGTAACTATTGCCTGAGTAATGAAATTTGTTATTGGCCGAATAACGAAGGGACTGTGCGCTTATAATGCATTGGCTAGGCATTCACGTCCACATTTGCGTGCTTGTGTACTTTCTGTTTCAGACCCCATTTGTGTTTATTATTAAAACACATCAGTCTATGCATGAAGGTTGATGAATAGATTTACCTTGACCAATGTGCTCTCTGCCATTGAATAAACGATTATTTCCAAGGTCTTCGGGTCTTCGCTCTGTTTGGAAGACAAACACAACCCAAATGAAACACTCAATGTCAAAATGAGTATACAAAAAAGCTCTTTTGGAATATTCAAACTAAAGAACATTATTGTTCCATGAGCCAGTAACACCAGTACAATGTGCGAGCACAAAATGGCCAACAAAAACAGCAAAAACTGTACACTGATGATCACACAGACTTGGTTACAAACAGCTGGAGCTATAGAGGTGCAGCATCTATTATACATCATCAAATACCCATAAAAAGGGCACAAACCACTTTAGCTGCAGTTTGTAGAAAAATATCACTTTATTGTAACATTCCATACAACATTTCCAACACCACAAAATTCAACAGGCTAAAATATACCCCCATACTGTATGTATCTGAACAGGCTGAAATGCTGTTGTAAAGAGAAAAGAAAAAGCTTATATAGATGGCAGGGTCAAAATCCCACATTCACAAGGGACAAAAAAGTGCACACAACCACAAACCCATCAGAACTTGTATCAAACTGATGCACATTAAGCACAATGTCGACATAATGAACATCCAAAAGCCATGTTCAGTAAACATGATTAAATACTTCAATAGACAAACTGTTTTAATCAAGTTCAAATGATGTAGATGGAATATTTTACTTTTTTTATGCAAAACATATACCGTTTACAACCTGGAGTATTTTTTTTGCACATTAAAATTCAGTTTCTCCAGACAGACACTTTAGACATCTACTGCCTTTTCCGGTCTCTGTCTCTGAGGAGGGGTGAAAGCATATGCTGTTTTGTGCAGGTACTATCAGAGACAGACTCTTGGCTTCATATGGGGCCCCCTCTGAGTGCTTTTGCTCATTAATATCTTTTGAGAGACAGCAAAAAGAAAAAAACTCCCAGCAAGAATGTTTACAACGGGCTTAATAAAATGTAATCTGGTCCATTACCTAATTAGAAATATGAAAAGGTTCAAAGGAAGTCTCAGCCACAGTAGATTTAAAAACATTTTATGATCAACTGACATGTCATTCATAAGCAACTCAGATTAAATTGTAAAGAAAAAAACTGAGAATTAAATTAATTTAAATTAATTAATACATTCAGACTAAAAAAACCAAAATACAGCATCACGACTGTTTAAAAGCTTAATATAAATTCATACATTAATCATACAGACATGAACAACCAGGACTCTTCAGAAAAAGTGTCAAATGTAAGGAGTTAAATGGTATAATTGCTCAAGACAAGACAAGACAGACACATTTGACACTGGCGTTGATATACATTCAACTGGGGGCACAGAGCCTCATAGAAATGTGTTGCATATTGCAAATTCTGCCTTAAACAAGCGAGAGATTGCACAATATGGCGGTGCAACAGAGATCACATGACTCAAAACTGAGCTGAATTGATGTCTAGCATGAAAAGCTGCGATGTGTCCCATCTGCCTAGAACCCAATCTACTGCATAGAGTAGGAAAAGAGGAGACAATGCTCTACAATGGGCCTGCCGGGTCAGGTGGTCTCTATTGTTGTCTACGAGGATCTTTCATGTGCTTTTGTGTTTTAAACAAACCCCTTCAGACCCTGGATTTTGCAGAGGAGGTCTATATTTAGAGCAGGCTTTTCTTTGATCTCGCCTTCCATCTCCTCACACATTCTTTTGTGAAGAGCAGATAAACGGGCGAAAAAGGGCCAGCCCGTCCATGATGGGGGATTATTTTCACCTATTGCCAGATGGAGGACATAACAAGATATCAGGATTTACTTTCTCCTTTCATCCCAGTTGCATTAGATGAAGCCAAAATCTGACGTGCCCGCCTGACAGATGCTTTCAGTAATAAATGAAGCCTCAGACTCTTTATGTGTAAAGAGGAAAATGTTTTGTTGGGGGAATTTCCACCCTGAGCTCTGATGGCACCTATTTTTTGTGTTTGTTTAGCACAGAAGAGAACACTGAACACTGAACACTATGTACTTGGACAGAACATTGCAGACCATAGCATGGGTTTCTTTTCAGAAGTATACCGCTACGTTTCAAGTGGCACATGAAAGAGATGAAGCAAATACTCGCATCAGGACACAGGGAAAATTATTTTGAAGTGCATTTTAAAACTTTCTCCCACATATATATAGTATGCTTTGATCCGTTTAAAGATGAAAAAAATCTGCAACAAGATTGTCATCTGCAAATAATGCTAATAAAACAAAATGCTATTTATGTTTTTCGCTGTCTTCTAATTCAACTGATACATTGGCAGAAAGCTTCCCAAAAAATACAGATAAGAGGTTTGTTAGTAATTCAGTAAGACATCAGCAGGTGTACTGAGTGAATAGAAGGTGGACTTGGAAATGGCTCCAACCACCATGCTAACGTGCCAACTCGCTCCCTGAAGCAAAATCAGCTAGCGAAGCGCTACTTGCACCATCTGACATTTGGCAGATTTACAAAGCTCTCCGCTTCTGCTCTTTTACAAGACTATGTGTAATCAAAATCTCTGGGGAAACAACACACAAATACACACTGCTTTAGCGTTAGCTATAAAAATAAAGTCAGTGCATCAGTTAGCTGCATATGCACTTCGGTTCATCTCGGCTGAGCGTGAATACGAAAGGATTAAATAATAAATAAGAACAGTGATCGGCTTGAACTAGCCCAATGCCACTGAAGCGTCTTAAGGCCAATGTTGTGTCAGTCAGTCGGCCAATCAGAGGAGTAGGCTGGCTAAGGCGGGGTCATGTGACCTTTGCATATAGGCAAAAAACATACTGTATCTCTTCAGACGTACTGTAAGTGCCAAAGCCCCAGTGACTTTCAGAAAAGAAGAGTTTATATATAGACACATATTGACAGATACTCAAAACGAACTCTCAGAAAACAAACAGCCTTCAAAATGCTTTTAAGATGCTTCATTCAATAGTCAAAGGAGACCAAACAGATCACTGGAACGGACCGAATCCATTGCTCTACTCAAGCTCTTAAAGAAAGATAAAAGGACCAGTCCTCATAACTTAAGCACTTTGTAGAGGTACCAGGAGTTAAAAAATTCAGTGGTACCTAACCCTTCCACACACATCCTGTGAAGAGACACAGATTCTCTAGCAAGAACATGTGTCTCAGAGTGTTCGACGTTCATGCTTTTGTCTCTTTGAAACTTCTTGTCAAACTCCTCAAGCCTCAAGTGTTCCTATGTGCACATGAGATGCGGCACACATGCAAGGAAAAGTTTCCTGGTTTTCCTTTTATGTACCAATGCCTCCCTCCCGTCACTGTTTGCAGGCTCTCCTCAGATTTTGGCAATGCTGCCGAGTTCTCTTGACTGTACAATAGGATTGGTCATGAACAGGAGATTAGAGCTTTTCACAGTAAGGTTCCCATCCACACATAGAGAGAGAGAGAGAGAGAGAGAGAGACAGAAGGGGAAAAGGGGTCCCTGCCAGTCAGAATTTTGGCTGGATGTCCCTTCGGCACAGCAGATCTCCTCCTTCACAGCACTGGAGCTCCACATAAGAGTCACAGAAAACTCGTCAACTCTGGTGCTTGTATGTGTCTACATCTTCTTTACCTTATCCTAGACTTTAAAGGACACCACCTAGATGTCCTCTTGAAACAGCGGGAGGAAGTGGTTCATTGGTGTCATCTCAACACTGGGAGCAGGGTTCTTGCTTTTCTAACCTAATCGTTAGCATTGGCTCCACCCCAGGTCCGGAGAGACCCCCGGGGCCGCCGCCTGTGTATTGTCCCGTGTACGTGCTCTGGTAAGACACCGAGTGCTGGCTCTTCTTGGTCGCCAGGTGGTAGCGGTGGCAGCACAGCACCATGACCAACGTGACACAGCCCAGGAGGAAAATGGCGCCACCTCCGGCTATTATGTAATACCAGTAGGTGGGCATGGGCTGCAGGGACACTGTCGTGTCAACAGTGGGGTCACTCCAGCCAGGTGAGGCTCCCCCTGGTGGAGAGACACAGAAGAGTTGGCTTGGGGTAGAGAGGCATGCAGACTGCATAGCTTCAAGCCATCTTGGATTGTACGTGAATGATTTTGCTCTGATTTGGTGCTGCATACAAACAAAACAAACACAGACACGCAAATGCACATGCACGTCGCCTGTCCGCGGCCCCTTCACGGGTACTTGATAACTGTTCGGACTGACTTTTGTCCTTCTAAATCACATTAAGAGTGCAGACATGTTTTATGGGTTGTGAACAGATATTACATCTCAGATAGTTTGTGCTGATTCTATGTGGAATCTGCGCTAACTTCATATGCAACCAAGCATATAGTGCCATAAGACACCGGCCGATGTCAGCACCTTCTCTCAGCCGTTCCTTTGTAATGCGGTATATTGGCGAGTGTGTGTGTGTGTGCTCTGTAGTTTTTCTTTCTGGGGGAAAGTTCTGTTTTCTTGCATGCATGGATCTGTGCCAGCTTCATCTGCCTCAAGCCAAAGTCTTCCATGAACCCAACCCAGCAGTGCATGAAAACTGCTCACCCATCACACGTGTGTACACACACACAAACCTCCACCAATCACTCTTTCTATTCCCTTCATTTCATCTATCTCTCGTCTATACATAAGCACGCATGTAATCTAGGAATTCTGACTGCTATGGGAAAATGAATCTACTTACACTGGGAATCATTTCCACTTCAATTAAAAGAAAGGGAGGTAGTTACTAAAGGAATACGTTATTAGTGGACTTGTGTGCTCCATAATCATTTAAAATAGAGTGTATGAGGATTATTCCACTGCAGCTGAATCTGATTGACTGCAATCATACAGCTGTTGGGCAATAAACATGACATCCATAGCAGCACAGCAGCTCAAACATACCGCCAATGCAATGCTCACACACTTGATGTGTACCATCGATATCAGAGTTTTGCTGTTCTCATTACAGTGTTTTAAAATTGTTAGTATAGAAACTTATTTATTTATGTATGTATGCATTTATTTGATAGTTTAAAATTTGATGAAGAATAACAGTGCAATGTCACCCCAAAGGAAAGATATCATAGTTCAGGAGGCTGAAATAGTTTTAAAACGGTTCTCATTGATGTTTTACATCAACTTTGTCTCAGAAGTTTCTAAAAATTCCATAGGGAAAAAATAGACAGATGATGTGTCTATTTTTTTCATTTTATATTCTGACCTGTGAAGCACCTTGAATAGCAATTTATATATTTAAGATGCAATACAAAAATATTATTATTATTATTGAATATTATTATTATTATAGAATTTGGTGAGAAATCATAATGAAATCTCAGGGGGAGACATGCATGTCAACTGAATCTACGGCCACATTTGATGATGTTTAGGCATGACATCGACACCATATAACACAGCACGTGATGTGGGGCTGCAGATGCATGCTGGGATACAGCCCATGCTCCAAATATCCATATGACAATAATGATGGTGAGGACAATAATCATGACAGCAATGATTTGACATAAAGGCACCAATGTCACTAAAATGCACAAATAAAAACAAACTGCACCGGCACTGAATCACACTTCACTTAAACTTTGTTGTGGAATTGGAAACAGTCTCTACAGAATCCCTATGTGCTGCTGGTGTGAAGCTCAACCAAAAGTATAATGATTCTCAAAAGCCCTTCAGGTGATGCAAGCTACTAGGCAACAAGCAGGAAGCACAAACATTGGCACAGGAAATGATAATATGCCAGAAAACTCACCAGTCATTTCAGGGGGGAATGCAGCGAAGGGTTCTGAAATGAGAGAAAAAAAAGAAAGATTAGTTAAAGAAACTGGCACAAATGAAATATATCCACATAAATAACAATGGTGCAGATGGAATTCTGACACATGTGACTGAGTATGATTAATATCATATGAATAAATTACTCTGGAGCTTGACAAAATGAATTCTGAGGTGCTGTAAGCGATGTTAACCGTTTCACTAACTCTCCAAAATCCTACCTTTCAACAGACTAAATATATGCTGATATCTCAAGACACCTATTTGAGTGATAACTGACATGTAGGAACATTTCCTGCGTGATATTCATTAAAAAACGCTTACAGCCCCTTTGACTACATATGTAAAATGATTAACACAACTCCCCAGAAACCCTTGTAGAGTGGTATGAAATGACAAACACAGGTTAAGGAGAAACAGAAAAGAGAAAGTGAAGAAGGGAGGAGAATGGGATTGGGCTGTGTGTCATTTCGCAAACTGTGCTGTGCACACACTCAGAATGCCAGAGAAATAGAATGCCAGTTCAGAATGTTTGGAATGCAGTCGCTTTAAAAAAGAACTCTGCAGAGAGACAGGGGACAGATTTGGCAGCGACGCAGGGCTGGCGCATACACATCGAACAGCTTTAATTAATAAGAGCAGTCCCAAAGCTGGGGGCCTGTGGCGGAAGTGTGTACGTGAGCAACTGAATGAAAGTGTTTATGACAGCTCACATCAATTTTGATTCATAACTAATCCTACTTTTGCTGATCATAGTTTAAATATAATAAGTAATGGCATCCTCAGAGGGAACAGCAATGTTTTGCTCAGTAAATAACCTTCACAGAATTGTGAGTGACTGGCCGTGTAGCTTTGTTCGACATTAATGTCTGTTCTGTGTTTGTGAAAAGCTGCACCGTCGAGAGCAGGCCTGCTTGGTTATTCCCTGGCATGGCTCTGGAAAGCTCTGTTTACAAATAAGAGAGAAGAAGGAAAAGAAACTAATGAAACATAGATTGGGATCAGAGCCCACAGGGTGAGTGTGGCCTAGTTTTCAGCTTTTTGTGCGAGCTGAGCACTTGAAAAACACTTTCCATTTGATTATTTTTTTTTTCTTGGGCTTGAATAGGAAGAGTAGGGTGGGCATGGAAAGCAGAATGGATCGTTTGGTGACATGCAGGGTACAAAATGAAGTTTCTCTCTGCCAATGCTAAGTAAATTTTGAAAAAGTAGGAACTTTTTTTCTTCTTAAAATCTATAAATATTTTTAGTGGCCAAAAACAATATTTTCAATATTATTTATTAAAAACAAAAATTTAAACATATAAATAGAAGTAAATAAAAATTCTTATGTTTTTTTTTTTTTTTTTTGCCAGATTTTAAACATTTTTATTTCATTTAATTTTAGATTTAACTAGTTTAACTAGTCAAAGCAAATTTTACTTGCATTTGGTGCTTGGCAGGTGTTAATTTTGGTCCCTGGTGACAAATATGGTGGGTGACAGTTGAAAGAAAGAAAGACAGCGAGACAAAGAAAGACCCAGATGTTAATACTTACGTGTACACTGCTCAAGCTCGATGCTGGAGCTCATATGGATATTATCGACCCAGATGTGCCCTCGACTGCCACGCTCGAAGAAGCCCTCGATGACAACCTTACAAATTAAAGAGAAAAGAAAGAGAATTAAGGACTACATTCAGATCGGCACTGTGTTACTGGTGTCAGTTCATCTTGTATTATTCTCAAGTCAATTTCTACCTTTACATAAACTGTCATACCTGATATTCTTTAGGGGACTGAGGCAGGATGGTGCGGCCTTCCCTCCACATGGGCCCCTGGTCTCCTTTCAGCGCCCAGAGCAACGTCTCCTCCTGGTCATCATCCCGGAGCAGCACACGGAGGCTGTCCTGACCTTCACCCTGCAGCTGGTAGTAGAAGAGCAGACAGACGGGACGGCGCTCGGGTCCCACAGACGGGCTCATTAACCGTGCACGCTGTGGCTCTGACTTAGGACTCGCCTCCACATACAGGAAATTTCCAAAATCTGTAGAACGAAAGAAACAAGTGATGATGTTACACATATTTTATTGGTCCTGGAACAACACTGCTGTCAAAGAAACATTATTCCTAACTCTCCAACATTACCCTAAACCAAAACCTTAACCCTAAATCAACCAGGATGTAGATCCAGGAACATGTCCTACTTAGTGAATCACTGTAAGCCAATTTTTAATTCTCTCTTTTTCTTTCTCACTGTTACATTGCATTGAACATTCTGGTATGTTTTTATGTTTGCAAAGTGATAAATAATTGATTGTTTTTTTTCTTTTTAGTGGAGGGAAGTAGAAAATCAGCTTTGACATAAAAGCACATCCCCTCTGTGTCCAGAGGAAAGAGTCCTTACAACACAATCTCAGTCACATCCCAATGTGGACATCTCAGTAAAGCGGACGAAAAATGAATGGGAGAAGAGAGGAAGAATGGAAAGCGATGATCAGAGAGGAGGCCGGGAAACACTTTGTGAGTTATCTGACTGGACAGCGTGGCACCAAAAATGATCATCATTACCCACACTGCCTCAGCTAATACGAATTCTCCTACCTTCCACTGATGTACAGAGAAATGGCGTAGTCCTTTCTTTCCGTTCGCCCTACTTTGACACATTTATCATCCCAAACATATTTCAAATACAGCACTGAAATCAGAGATCAGATCAGACAGTCGCTGGTCCTCCTGTATGAGATGCCTAAATGGATTATGCATTTAATTAATCCATAAGAACTTCCTCTTTTTGATCTTGGGTATCCATATAAGAAAATTAATGACCCTTTTTACAGGGAAAGTTCACCATAGCTCGGAGACTGTTTAGCTTAAGTTGATGTGCCAAGTAACCGGAGGGCAGGGAAAGGTGCTTCTGGGTTTATTTTTTTTAAGTGGAACCTTCTACACCTAGAGTTAATTAGGCTGACTGCGTATTAACCCTTTCTGGACCTCTGGTTTTCTGTTTCCTGGTTTAAACTCTGAGGTATGAACACTCTGGGGTGCTCTTCCAGGAGCCATAGGATCTACACAGCTTACTGCAAAGTTTTATTGGAGTGAGCTGTGCTGTAAAGTGAATGAGTTGAGCAGCTTTTGTCCAGGGATGCTGGGAAGTGAAGCCAGAAACATACTCCACAAGTATGCAAAAAAAATAAAAAATCCACTGATTAAACTGTGGAAGCCCATTTCTGCCTCTTTCTGTCTTGAATTTTTAACTTACAATTGTGACTTTTTATCTCGTAATTGTGATTTTATATCTCACAATATGACTTTATATCTAATTTTTTACAGGCTTCCATACAAA